TTGGCATTAAATGGGTCATTTTTCAACCAGGAACTTCAGCTTTTCTGGTGCACGGCATGAATGAAGCTGCTGAATGAAGGAAATCTTAGGAAGGAGCTTTGCTCCAATTTAAGCTTTGCTCCAATTTAATTCCCAAGAGCAGTGTTTCTCAACCTTTGCAACATGAAGGTGGGCAGATTTCAACTCCCAGAATTCCCAAGCCAGCATGGAAATTGAAGCCCACGTATCTTCAAATGGCTAAGTTTGAGACACATTTTTAGAAGTGTGGACTTCAGCTCCCAGAATTCTCCAGGCAGCATGCGCCTTCGGAGACATCCAGATCCGCCATTTTCCTCACCAGAAACCTGCTGTTGTGCAATACACGTCAAAAAGGGGACATTCATTCATAAAGAGATAGCGTGTATTTGATTTGGGATCCCATGACGACCACGGGTGCTTTCATAGTAGGGTGGGGGGGGGGGTCTTGAGTTTTGGGACAACCTCAACATTTTGCCCTCCTCTTGGTAGGAAGCTGCTACAGCAGCTTCCAACTCTTAGGAATAAACCTATTATCCAAACACCCCAATTCTCTTCTGGAAAAGTTTAATGTTGTATCTTGTATATAGAAAATAAGACACAATCCCACTCCCCACACCTTTGTTAAGATGTTCAAAGCAAGCCACGGAGGCTCACATTTCTCTTTGGGGCAATTTACTGATCATCTTTTATCACCAGATGTTTTGCTTTTATTCGGAAGACAAGACACACCAATCAAGAATTTTCACTATGGAGGGGTCATAAGAAATTATCCATTGAACACAGATTTTCATTGTACTGTATGAGAGATTCTGAATACAGCGATTCTTTGTCAGACTTCTTATATCCTGGCCATCATATGAAACAAAGAACGTCCATCATTTTCAAAGAACTGGTTGGTGGGAAAACATTGGCGTGACCTCTATATAAATCGCTTATCATACTTAGTATCTCAGCCCTTAAATAATACTAGTTCTGTTGCATGGCACTTATATACATACCTTTTATGGATATTCATCTCAGTCAGTTAACCAGTGGAACAACCTGCCTCCAGAAGCGGTGAACGCGCCAACACTGGAATTTTTTAAGAAGAAACTGGACAGCCATTTGTCCGAAATGGTATAGGGTTTCCTGCCTGAGCAGGGGGTTGGACTAGATGACCTCCAAGGTCCCTTCCAACTTTATCATCATCATCATCATCATCATCATCATCATCATCATCATTACTATTGTTTATGTTCTGGACTCCTAGCATTTATAAGAATTAACAATTCTTAGATTTTTATTAAGTTTTTTAAAACAAGAGTCAGTCAGAAAAAGTGCTGCTAGATTCCTCCAGTCCCAAAGGTGCTTTTTCAAAATGTAACCGGATTTTGTTTTTTCTTGAAGAAGTTTCACTTCTCATCCAAGGAGCTGGACTGAAGAAGCTTCCTGGATGAGAAGTGAAGCATCTTCAAAGAGAAAAAACAAAGTCCAGTTGCCCCTTGAAAAAGCATCTTTGGGACAACCATGGTCTGGATGACTGAGAATCTCCACAGACATTTATATTCCTTTTGATTTTTGTAACCACAAATTAACACAGTTGTCTTTGAAAAATATTGATATGGTTTCACTTCTGCACATATCTGAATTAAACGACAGAGATATGCAGCAAATATTGTTTCCATTCTACATTTTCACACATGGCTTTTACATAAAGAGTTTCATGTTGCTTATTAAAGGTGTATTTTCCCTGCCTTATGCCATGACAGACAGCCTGTAGCCCTTAAAATCTGTTGAGACTCTAGAAAGAGTACAGAGAAGAGCAACAAAGATGATCAGGGGACTGGAGGCTAAAACATATAAGGAACGGTTGCTGGAATTGGGAATGTCTAGTTTAACGAAGAGAAGGACGAGGGGGGACATGATAGCAGTGTTCCAGTATCTCAGGGGCTGCCCCAAAGAAGAGGGAGTCAAGCTATTCTCCAAAGTGCCTGAAGGCAGGACAAGAAGCAANATGTCACAATTGTTGAGAACAGCAAAGTTCCTATGATTCTGAGAGGCAATAGGTATTAAAACTCTATTTTAAGTACCGAAATAGAGATATTAGTTTTAAAAGGCAAATTTTCAAAATGGCCCATCAGATCCACCAGCTTCAGCTGGGCCCCTTGCCAGCGTTCTGCCATCCAAGGGGAGGAGGGGGGGGATCAAATGGACAATAAAGCTGTATAGTTTTATGATGGGAACTTGGGACACTCAAGGCAGTGTCTATATATGATGTAACCTTTTGTAACATTTTGCACCTCCGACATATTAAATGTGATCCCTGTGTACATAAACGGTCCCATCACAACACAGGGCTGGCAACGGATGATTCCACATATAAAAGAGTATTTATTGATTTGCATAGTAGAGAGGGCAGGTGGGCGCATAATTCAACATTATTCCTAGACTATCGGTACATAATTATATTCACAGTTACAAATAAATCGATATACACTTAAGCCTAGCATCTCTACCATTTGATGGAACACAGAATAGAAAATAGAAAAATGGAAAAGGGAAGACTGCTCTACACCAGGTAATGAATCAGTGCAAAACAGCCACATTTTGCCCAAGTTTAGTGGGAGGCTTGACACTGCATGCCGTCGGCAAGCCTGTTGTAATTGGGAGTGTAGGAAGAGATTGCCACTCGCAAACAGTCATCCAGATGTTTGTCCGTCATCCGTGTTCTATTCTTTGACTTGATAAATCTCCGTGTCGAGAAGACAGACTCACACTGGTAGGTGGACCCAAAGTAAGACTTGATCTTTGCAGCTGCTTTCCTCAACAGAGGAAATTTCTGGGCATCGACCAAGTTCCAAAAGTTGGCGTGGCTTGAGTTGGATTTCAGAAGGATGTCATTCTGAAGGCTAACAATCTCCATCTCGACCTCTTCCACCATGGCCTGGCACAGTTCCCCGATGGCCACGGCTGTCTCTGCCACATCGATCGGACTGAATGGGTTCTCAAAGAAGGACACCACTGGCTCGATGCCGGTGAACTGCTGGAAGCGGGCATGAAATTGTTCCTCTAAGGTCTCCAGGTAACCCACAAACGGCGCATTGTTGAAGTCGCTCTCCCCGACCACTTGCTTCATGGAAGGGAAGGGAAGGAGGGACTTCACCTGCAGGTGTGACTTCCACAACCTCAGTTTGCCTTTGAAGGAGTGCACCGAAGAGATCATCCCACAGATATGCTTATCGTTTCGATGAAGTTCAATATTCAAACTGTTGAGTTCTTGCATCAAGTCAGCAAGGAAAGCTAAATCCACTAACCAAAACCTATCGTCCAGCTGTTCCACATACTGGTCTTTCGTCTTTAAAAAGGCCTTTATTTCATCCCTCAGGGTTAAAAACCTGGCGAGAACTTTGCCTTTGCTGAGCCATCTGACCTCCGTGTGCAAGATCAGGTCCCCATATTCAACATCGACGTCCTTCAGAAGGGCTTTAAAGAGCCGATGCTGCAAAGAGACGGCGCGGATAGAGTTTATGATTTTTGTAACCACGTCCATGACGTGTTTAAACTGCAGGACTTTGGCACACAGGGCCTCTTGGTGGATGATGCAGTGATACGAAATAAACTTTGGGAAAGATTCGTCCTTCTGGCAGTGAGCGATGAACCCATCCATGCTGCCCACCATGGCTGGCGCGCCATCGGTCGTTATGGAGGAAAGTTTATGAAGAGGCAGGTTGATTTCAGTGGCGTAGTTCTTGAAAGTCAGGAAGATATCTTCGCCTCTCGTTTTTCCTTTCAAAGACAGGATTTTGAGCAGCTCTTCCTTCACCGCAAGATCGCTGAAGACCAGCCTCACGATCATGGCCAACTGGGACGTGTCGGTTATGTCGGTGGACTCGTCCAGCTGCAGGGAAAACCAGAGGCACTTCTGCAGATCGCTTTGCAGCTGGTACTCCAAATCGTTCGAGATGGATTGGATTCTGCGAGAAACGGTGTTCCCGGACAACTGAAGCTTTTGTATAGCCGTCATGATTTCTTTCTTATTGGAGAAGCCTTCAAAAATCGAGTCGGCGGCCGTCAGAAAGACCTCTTTCAGCAGCTCGCCGTCCTCAAAGGGTTTGTTTCTTTTCACCAGCAAGCTGGCAATTTTGAAAGAGGCAATGGTGGTATTCTTGGAGTGGACCACGGGTTTGGTGTAGACGGTCAGCTGGGAGGCAAATTTGGACTTCATCTCTTTCACTTTCATCTTGCGGAGCTCGGAATCGAGGGGATAGTTTTTGGCGAAGGTGCCGTGGTTTCTCTCGAAGTGCCTCTGGACGTTGTGCTTCTTCGCCACCGCGACCGTGGACGAGCAGATTAAGCACACCGATTTGCCGTTCACGTCCATGAAGCAGTATCGTTCCTCCCATTCTTTATGGAACAGATACGTCCTTTGTCTTTTACGGGCTGGCTCGCTTATTTTTGCAACTGCAAGACAACAATAACAAAAAAAAACGATAGTTCAGTGCCTACTTGTAAGCAAAGACTTTTTAGAAAAGGGTTTTAAAAATTATACTTTGTAAGCAGATGATGTGATGGAATGTAGTCTGGATTCCCAGGAGGGAGGGGCTCCCTCCCAGAGGTCAACCAGAGCTTGGAATGCCTGATGGGCAGGAAGAAGGCTAAGCAGCCCCTCCCTAGCAGTTCACAAAATATATCTCCAGTTATGCAAATAGAGTCTGCTTTAGTCTTTAGGCAAGATTCCATCTGTAGGCAAACAGCAATAAAGAAACTATTCAGAACTCCAGGTGTGGTTCTTGGGGCCTGACACAGCCGCCATCTTGCCTTTTAACCCCCCTTGCCCATCACTCATCTATGGCATTCCATGCTCAGTAAAACCAGAACATTAAACATTCCACACGCTAAACATAGATATGCTTTCTACCCAAAGAATTGTAAACATCTTGTTAACACCAGATTTAAATAAGGAGTGATCCAGCCTTTGGCACTTAACTGTTCATTTTCTCTATTTTTTCTTGGACTGCATTTTGATGGAAGTTACTGCTCTGGGAAGCGGGGGAGTCATTCAGCTCCATCATCCTTTTCTGATTGGGTACCGATTTTCTCCTCTGTTTCTCCCTCTTTTTAATGCCGTCCCCTTCAGGCAGTCCCACCGATGGGTCTCCTTTTCTCTCGACTGCCCACTTCTCGGCTTCTGCAGTGAACACAGGAAGCTGGTAAAAGCTCTTTTGGGAAACAGAGGCACTCACCAAACCCAGTTAACCCAAGTGGCGTTCAGGATTGTCTTTGCATTTTGGTAAAAATGGTATAATTTCATAATTGACGAACGAGAGAAAACTTACCAAAGGCAGCTATTAGCCCACAGTCTTGCTCCATGGCTTGCTTGCGGAAACCTTTCTGGTCAGGATCGGGCAGGATCCCTTCTTTTTCCGTCACCTGGACAGCCACATCCTCAGTCGCCACTGGGACCTGAAAAGATGACAGAAAGTTGAGTCACTAGCAAAATTCAACGGCTAGTTCACCAGTGAGATGGAATCATGATTAGGATCCTGTACTGGTCTGTGTGAATGACCTTGAGGAATGAGGGGAAGAGAGGCTGCCCAGAGAATAATCAGATAACAGGGAGAGGAGCCCACAGCTGCCTAAGGCAGAGGTCCCCGACCTTTTGGGCACCAGGGACCGGTTCCGCAGAGAAAGGTTTTTCCACGTACCGGAGGGTGCGTGGTTTTGTGTGCTGCCTGCATCCCATGGATGGAACTTTGCTTGTTTGTGTGGACTGGTTGCTGGCATGTTGGGGACCCCTGGCCTAAGGGGGAAAGAAGAAAAAGAAAAAAAAAGAAAAGAAAAGAAAGAAAGAGAAAGAGAGAAAGGAAGGAAAGAGAGAGAGAGAGAGAAAGAAAAAGAAAGAAAGAAAGAAAGAAAGAAAAGAAGGAAGAAAAAGAAAGAGAAAGAAGAAAGAGAAGAAAGAAGAAAAAGAAAAAAAGAAGAGAAAGAAGAGAAAGGAAAAGAGAGAAGGAAGGAAGGAAAAAAGAAAGGAAGGAAAAAAGAAAGAATGAAAGAAAGAAAAAGAAAGAAAGAAAGAAAGAAGAGAGAAAAGGAAGAAAAAGAAAGAAAGAAAGAAGAAAGAGAAGAAAGAAAGAGAAAAAGAAAGAAGAGAAGAAAGAAAGAAGAGAAAGGAAAAGAGAGAAGGAAGGAAGGAAAGAAGAAAGAAAAAGAAAGAAAGAAGAAAGAGAAAAAAAGAAAAGAAAAAGAAAGAAAGAAAGAAAGAAAGAAAGAAAGAAAGAAAGAAAGAAAGAAAGAAAGAAAGAAAGAAAGAAAGAAAAGAAAAAGGATCTCCACTAACACATCAGACAGTTAAAGGTGACTATGGGAAATTTCAGACTTACAAGATTGGTGTTAACTCTCCCACGGAAACCAGACCAGGAAACACAACCATATGAATTAATTCTATTTTATCGTAAGGCTATATTAACAGAATCTTGTACAGGAAGTCCTCGACTTACAACAGTTCATTTACGGACTGTTCAAAGTCACAACAGACCTGAAAAAAATGACTTATGACCGGTTTTCACATTTACGTCCTCGTGGTCACACGACCAAAATTCAGACGCTTGGCAACTGGCTCACATTTATGATGGCTGCAGCGTCCCCAGGTCACGTGATCCCCTTTTGCGACTTTCTGACGAGCAAAGTCAATGGGGGGAAAGCCAGATTCACTTAACAACCAAGTTGCTAACTTATCAACTGCAGTGATTCACTTAACAACGGTGGCAGGAAAGGTTGTAAATTGGGGCAAAACTCACTTAACAAATGTCTCACTTAACAGAAATTTGGGGCTCAATTGTAGTCATAAGTTGAGGACTACCCGTACTTTCTTTTTTTCCTGTGATGCAGCCTTGGGCTCCTCCTCCTTTTATCTGATTGTTGCCTAGGTAGCATTTCTTCCCCTCCTTCCTCAAGGCCATTCTCACATCCCATTACAGATCCAAACCTCTGCAGGCAGCAATACAAGATCGTCCGTCTAACACACACCTCCAACAGACACTAAATAAGAGGACAGGCCTGTTCAAAGGCAGGGAGGTTGAGCAAAATTCTCTCTCCCCCCTCTCATTGCTTGTCCATACCTGAGCCTGTTGTGCAGTTGTTAAGTCTCCGCCGCCACACAGAAGAGATGTTGACTGGGCACGTATTACCGACATCATCCCATCTCCTGGAAGAAACCAAAGGTAATACGTGTTTATGTGTTATCTCAGGAACTGTGTTGAGTTTTAGGAGAGCCGTGAATATGAGCCAGTTGCCAAGTATCTGAATTTGATCACGTGACCCTGAGGATGCTGCAATGGTTATAAGTGTGAGAAATGGTTGTAAGTCACTGTTTTCAGTGCCATTGTAACCTTGAACAGTCACTAAATCAACCGTTGTACATCAAGGACTAACTCTACCAGATTCTGTTAATACAGCCTTACGATAAAGTAGAATTAGTTCATATTGTTGTGTTTACTTGTCTGGTGTCATGGTTCCGACAGATGAAACTCTTTCAAAGAACTTCCGAAGCGTTGTTTACCGTAAAGAATCTTTATTTTGAGTAGCATAACATCGGCACTGCATAATCGAAGCCAAAAACTGAATTCTCCTCCCCTGGGCACATAGTATCAAAGCACAATTCCCTCCTCCAATTAACAGTCATAAATCACATTCCCCAATTAGCTTGAAGGTCTCCTGTTCTCCAGCCCGCCAATTCTTTATCAGCTCTGGGCTCAATAACCTTGATTCTCACCCTAAGTTTAATGTTATGTCTAGTTGGACTCTTGTTCACATCCTCCCTCCCAGCATCATCTAACTCTAAAAGCGAAAGGGAAAATGATGGCTACATTGCCATCTGTTGTCAATGCAAAACATCCGATGTTAGCAGCGTTGATACCTGGTTTGCAATGGTTGTGAGAAGTGTGAGAAATGATCACGAGTCACTTTTTTCAATGCCGTTTTAACTTCAAGTGGTCACTAAATGAACTGTTGTAAGCCGAGGACCACCTGTACTTGATGTTGAAAATACAGTAAACCCATCTTCGAACTCCTGGAAACAACTGGAGATCTATCTTTGCCTGGAAGGCCTGTAAAAGTTGATTTCTAGGTTCAGCGGAGGAAAGGCAACAGGTGGAAAAGCAACCTGTTCATCCTTACCTTGTAGGATGGACGTTCCATCGCCTTCGTGTTTCATCCACCTTCGTAGGGCACTCTGCCGGGCATCCGAGGAAGTCTTGAATGGTTCCGGAAAGGTGGGGCCCGACTCTGTATACTGAAACATAGAACGAAAAGGGAATGTCAACCGTCCCAACTTGCTCAATTAGAAAAGAAAGACTCTCGAATCCATGATTAATGAAAGCACACTTTACTAAAGTCAAGTGGTTACAGAGAGGCAAAGCCGGATCTGAGATTTTCTTGCTCAAAGTATACCGTTCACTTTCCCCTTATTTCCACCCTTGGTTATCTCTACGCGTCCAGTTGAATCCACACAAATTGTATGGGTAACAGTCCGTCTTTTTCGGTTTCTCTCCTACTATCCTCCCTCGTTATCCTACCCCACAGTTCCTCACCGCCCATTGCCTACGACAGACTGGCAGCAAGCAAAGCATGGCATAGCACAGGGGTCTTCAAACTTGGCCCTTTTATGACTTGTGGACTTCAACACCCAGAATTCCTCAGCCAGGCACAATCCTCTGATGGTTTTGGACTTAACACACCTGCCTTTTCTAACCTGCCTGGTCTGTGTGTGTGAATGGTAATGCCAGGTTGCCTGTTTATATGGATTGGGGCAGGGGTCTTCAAGCTGGGCCCTTTTATGACTTGTGGACTTCAACTCCCAGAATTCCTCAGCCAGGCACATGTGCCTGGCTGAGGAATTCTGGGAGTTGAAGTCCACAAGTCATAAAAGGGCCCAGTTTCAAGACCCCTGGCATAGCAGGATGGCAGTCCTGACAGGCGAAACGGTTAGGAACTCCATCCCATGTACACACACACACACACACACACGATGACCAGAAAGCTCCGAGCAATTGAGAAGACCAAACATTTTACCTGATGTTGTTCTTGTTTCTTGTCTTCGGCCTGAGTCAAGAGGAAAATTTCAGCCAGGGCTACAGCTTGGGAACTGGTCTCGGCTCCACATTCCCGGACCCACCTCTGCATCTCCGGAGGAATGACGGCCAGGAATTGCTCAAGGATGAGCATGTCCAAAATCTGGTTCTTGGTATGCTGCTCTGGTCTCAGCCACAGATGGCAGAGATCGTGCAGCCGCTTACAGACCTCTCGGGGTCCCTTGGCCTCCTGGTAGTGGAGCTGCCGGAAACACTGGCGATGGACCTCAGGGTGCAGGTCCCAGTTTTCTCCACCGCTCCCTGACTTGATGGTCTCAGGGTCCCTCCCAGTTTCTGGGCCAGCTGCTGGTGGCTCATCCATCCTTGAGATGTTCTCCTGGCTGGGCAGACGGTCTTCCTGGGCTGCCAGTTTCAGCCACGAGGGCAAGGATGCCTCTGATTGATGATGGCCACCAGGTTCTGCAAAGTCAAGACCAAGGTAGTGTCATTGCAAAGTTCTTCAAGGACAGGAAGCATTTTCCCAACTCCGTGTGGGCGAGTATCAGAGAATGACAGGAAATTCCCGCTGAATTAGCCTCCCTTTTAACAGCATTTTTTATCTTTTCATTTATTTATTAGGTACGTCACACAGCACTCATTCCCAAGGAGTTTGGAGTAAAGGGTCCTTGGCAGTGGGAGACAACAAGGCAAACTCTCGGACCATTATTTTGTAAAACAGGATTGTCCAACCCTGGCAACTTTTAAGACTTGCGGACTTCAACTCCCAGAATTCCCCAGCCAGCATCCTCCAAAATATGATCCAGTTTTAGTAGGGAGGTTTTGCCTAGTCCAAAACTACACAAACTTCCCATCTGCCTTCAGAAAGTGATTTCAGCCCCCTTTTTCCTCTAAACAAGATGACAGACAGTCCTTGATTCACAACCATCCATTAGTGACCGTGTGAAGTTAAAATGGCAGAGAAAAAAGTGACTTTATGACTGTGGTTTACACTTGCGACCGTTGCAGCATCCCAGTGGTCACGTGATCCAAATTCAGAGGGTTGGCAACTGACTCGTATTTATGACGGTTGCAGTGTGCCAGGGACACCTGGTCACCTTTTGTGACCTTCTGACAAGCGCAAAGTCAGTGGGGAAGCCGGATTCACTGAACACCCGTTACTAAGTGAATAAACGCCTGGCTTAGCAACAGAAATGGGCTCGGTTGTGGTGGTAAATTGAGGATACCTGTACTTTTCTGCAGGATCCAAGAGGGTCTACAGTGGGCTGTCCTGGACAGAAGGGCTGCAAAAAGAATGGCAGCCCAATTCCCACCCCCTCCCCAAAGAAGAGAAACATCCTCTGGGGTTTTTCACCTTCCAAGGAACATCCGCTCTTTCAAGAGCCCCCCCACCCCACCCCCACCCCCAGCACTACAGAGAGGGGATGCAACACCCGATGCAAGGGGGGGGATTGCAACACCCGATGCAAGGGGGGGGGATTGCAACACCCGATGCAAGGGGGGGGATTGCAACACCCGATGCAAGGGGGCGCCCCCCTACGCGTGGCAGGAGAACAGAAGAAGGGCTCCCGTGCTTGCATTCATTGTTTTCTCTCTCTCTCTCTCGTTGAACAATACCTGGATGCTGACCACCCACCCTCCTCTGGCTTTGCAGAAAGACGGGAGGAAGCGCCAGGACAGGCAGACGAGGACCCCTCCCCACCAGCAGACCCCGCCCTGCCCTTTTTGTGTGGCTGCTTTGTAAAGGGGGGGGTCGGCTTGAGCCTGGGAATCCCACCCCGTCGTCTCTGCAGCTCCGGGACGCCCCTCTCTGCCAAGCCAGGGTGCAAGGGCTGCAAACTCACCCAATTCCCCCAAGGGGGTCCGCCATGCAAAGCTCGGAGGAGGTGGGGGGGGAAGGCCACGCCCCCCTTTTCCCCCACCCCCACTGGAAAAGGCGGAGCAGGAAGAGTCCCGGGCGGGAGGACCGCTTGCAAGGGAAGGACGCCCCCCCGCCCCGTCTTCCTGCCCCAATTCGCTTCCTCTCTAGGAGCTTGGCTCGTTTCATTTAACCCTTGCAAAGCCACGAGGAGGGATCTCCCCCCCCCTTCCACCCCTCCCCGCCGCCCTTTTGCAAGCAGCGCAGGATGCAGGCGAAAACATCTGGGCACCGCTGGGCGGGCTGGCGGGCGCGGCCAGACTGCAGCGGATGCAATAGAAATGGCGAAAGCATGCAAAGTTGCAACGCCGCCCCCCCCGGGTGCATCCTCTGCTTCTCATCAGGGGGCAATGAAAAGCCTCCCCCCCCCAGCAAGATATATTCCCCCCCCTCCCCCGCTGCAAGGGGGCGCCTTGCCTCGAAAGCGCGAGCGAGGCGTCGCTGCGGCCCAGCCACCGAAGGGTTAAAACCAGCGACGGCTGAATTCCTAGAGAGGAAGAGAAATTTTAAAACAAGGAAACAGGAAGAAGAAAGGAAACAGGCTCCTCCCAGAAGAGGGCGGGGTGCAGCCGCTTCTGCAGGATGGGAGTCTGCTGCGGGTGAGCCCCGAGGCTTTTGGGGAGCAGGGCGGCCTGGCGCTGCAGGGGAGGGCCGGGAGGGCGGCCCAGGAGGTGGAGGAGACCTCCAGGCTGGAACCCTTGCGGGGAATAGACGGGGGAGGGGGGCAGAGGGGCTTTTCAGGTTAGTCCTGTATTTTTTCCAATAGAAAATCATGGTTTTGGTTGGTATGGTGGGGGGAGGAAGCGTGGAGGGGGGAGAAGTGTGTGGGGGGGTGCGCGTGGCCTTGAAACGTGGACAGAAAAGCCTGCTCCGTCCCGCCCCCCCCATTTCCACTTTGCATAGCAATTTTAATGGATGCTGTTCATGGAGGTTTAAATCAGGCGTCTCCCACCGTGGCCACTTTAAGACTTGTGGACTTCAGCTCCCAGAATTCCTTAGCCATGATGGCTGGCTGGGGAATTCTGGGAGTTGAAGTCCACCGGTCTTAAAAGTGGCCATGGTGGGACACTCCCCCATTTTTTAAATCAGGGAGCTTCAAACTTGGTCCTTTTATGACTTGTGGACTTCAACTCCCAGAATTCCCCAGCCAGCCATCATGGCTAAGGAATTCTGGGAGTTGGAGTCCACAAATCATAAAAGGGCGAAGTTTGAAGACCCCTGAATTAAATTGTACAGAAGAGAATCTGCTGTTTCTCCCGAAGCAGTGTTGTGTGTTACTGATGCGTATTTTGTATACAAGCCAGTGAGCAAGTTCCTTTTTCTTTTTAGAATCACTTGTGTTTTGAGAAAGTCATGCGTGCTGTGGAGAAGTGGATTTTGCTGAATCTTGAGCAGAGTTCTTTAGCAGTCTAGTCATGGAAGACAATTGTGCGGTTGTGAAGCCTTTCGGTAAGTTTTCTGTTTTGAGTTTTCAGAATCAATGCTTTGCACAGTCTCTGTTTCGTGACCTCGTATCAAGATCATGTGAAGTATTAATACCACTTTACAAGGCCTTGGTAAGGCCACACTTGGAATACTGCATCCAGTTTTGGTCACCACGATGTAAAAAAGACGTTGAGACTCTAGAAAGAGTACAGAGAAGAGCAACAAAGATGATTAGGGGACTGGAGGCTAAAACATATAAGGAAAGGTTGCTAGAATTGGGTATGTCTAGTTTAATGAAGAGAAGGACGAGGGGGGACATGATAGCAGTGTTCCAATATCTCAGGGGCTGCCCCAAAGAAAAGGGAGTCAAGCTATTCTCCAAAGCCCCTAAAGGCAGGACAAGAAGCAACAGATGGAAACTAATCAAGGAGAGAAGCAACCTAGAACTGAGGAGAAACTTCCTGACCGTTAGAACAATTAACCAGTGGAACAACCTGCCTCCAGAAGCTGTGAATGCTCCAACACTGGAAGTTTTTAAGAAGAGACTGGACAGCCATTTGTCTGAAATGGTATAGGGTGTCCTGCCTGAGCAGGGAGTTCGACTAGATGACCTCCAAGGTCCCTTCCAACTACTATTACTTTTCTTTTTTTTTCTTCTCCTCCTCCTCCTCCTCCTCTTCATCATCATCATTTCTTCTGGTGTACCAAAAGATTATATGGCTTGTTTTTGCTATTAATGCAATTCTCCAGTCATTGTTACAGTAATTGAATGTCAGCCCCAAGTATTAAAAGCACAATGGATGCAGTGATTTATCAATGAGCATTAGATTATGGAACCGTTAGGAAAGAGTAAGAATTAACCTGAAATCCTAGAACTTGAGATTTAAGTAGCATCTTTTCTGAAACTTTAAGTGTCTGCCNCCCCCCCCCCCCCATTTCCACTTTGCATAGCAATTTTAATGGATGATGTTCATGGAGGTTTAAATCAGGCGTCTCCCACCGTGGTCACTTTAAGACCTGTGGACTCCAACTCCCAGAATTTCTTAGCCATGATGGCTGGCTGGAGAATTCTGGGAGTTGAAGTTCACTGGTCTTAAAAGTGGCCACGGTGGGACACTCCCCCATCATGGCTAAGGAATTCTGGGAGTTGGAGTCCACAACGTGCCTGGCTGAGGAATTCTGGGAGTTGAAGTCCACAAATCATAAAAGGGCGAAGTTTGAAGACCCCTGAATTAAATCGTACAGAAGAGAATCTGATGTTTCTCCCGAAGCAGTGTTGTGTGTTACTGATGTGTATTTTGTATACAAGTCAGTGAGCAAGTTCCTTTTTCTTTTTAGAATCATTTACATTTTGAGAAAGTCATGCGTGCTGTGGAGAAGTGGATTTTGCTGAATCTTGAGCAGAGTTCTTTAGCAGTCTAGTCATGGAAGACAATTGTGCGGTTGTGAAGCCTTTCGGTAAGTTTTCAGTTTTGAGTTTTCAGAATCAGAATGCTTTGCACAATCTGTTTCGTGACCTCGTATCAAGATCATGTGAAGTATTAATACCACTTTACAAGGCCTTGGTAAGGCCACACCTGGAATACTGCATCCAGTTTTGGTCACCACGATGTAAAAAAAGATGCTGAGACTCTAGAAAGAGTACAGAAAAGAGCAACAAAGATGATTAGGGGACTGGAGGATAAAACATATAAGGAACGGTTGCTGGAATTGGGTATGTTTGGTTTAACGAAGAGAAGGACGAGGGGGGACATGATAGCAGTGTTCCAATATCTCAGGGGCTGCCCCAAAGAAGAGGGAGTCAAGCTATTCTCCAAAGCGCCTGGAAGCAGGACAAGAAGCAACGGATGGAAACCAATCAAGGAGAGAAGCAACCTAGAACTAAGGAGAAACTTTCTGACAGTGAGAACAATTAACCAGTGGAACAACCTGCCTCCAGAAGCGGTGAATACTCCAACACTGGAAGTTTTTAAGAAGAGACTGGACAGCCATTTGTCTGAAATGGTATAGGGTGTCCTGCCTGAGCAGGGAGTTCGACTAGATGACCTCCAAGGTCCCTTCCAACTACTACTACTACTACTACTACTACTTTTCTTTTTTTTTCTTCTCCTCCTCCTCCTCCTCCTCCTCCTCCTCCTCCTCCTCTTCATCATCATCATTTCTTCTGGTGTACCAAAAGATTATATGGCTTGGCTAATTAAAACATTTGTTTTTGCTATTAATGCAATTCTCCAGTCATTGTTACAGTAATTGAATGTCAGCCCCAAGTATTAAAAGCACAATGGATGCAGTGATTTATCAATGAGCATTAGATTATGGAACCGTTAGGAAAGAGTAAGAATTAACCTGAAATCCTAGAACTTGAGATTTAAGTAGCATCTTTTCTGAAACTTTAAGTGTCTGCCTTTTAATAAAATGTGCTTGTTTGCAACTGTCATAAATACATGCCAGTTGCATGCAGCTGAATTTTGATCACCTGACCGTGAGGATGCAGCAACAGTCGTTAAGTATTAAAACTAGACTTGTCATATTTTTGAGTGCCATTGTAATGTTGAAGGGCCAGTATATAAATGCTTGTTAGTCAAAGACAACCTTTATGTCTCTTCTATAATCCCATGGAATCTTAAAACTGTTGGAATAATGCTCCTTATCACCTATAAAAGGACAGAGAATGAGAATGAAGGAATGAATTACCCAAAAATGGTGCCACAAGGAAGAATTCCTGCTCCATAATTTTTGTTATTAAAAGAGTAAAAAAAAATGAGGAGACACTGTAAAAATTTGTCTTGCCAAAACCTAAAAACTCAGTCGGATTGATTAGTGTGGCATCTAAAATCATTCTGATGGTGTCGCAAAATAGTGACCACTTATCTCTGAAATAAAAAGGAAGATATAGTGGAAATCTCAAATGGTAGAGATCTCACCTGTGGAGATGGTTACCAGCATCAAATTCCTGGGTGTACAGTTAACCAGTAGGCTGGCTTGGTCACTCAACAGCGAGACACTGGTGAAGCGGGCACAGCAGCACCTGCATTTTCTGCGTCGCATGGGGAAAGCACATCTTCCTTCCTCTGTCCTGACCACTTTCTACAGAGGGATGATCAAGAGCATCCTGTCATACAGCATCACGGTCTGGTTTGGAAGCATCCCTGCTTCAGACAGGAAGGCTGTGCAGAGAGTGGTGAGGACAGCTGAAAAGATCATTGGAAATTCCCTCCCTTCCATCCAGGACATGGCATATAAGTGTTGCTTGAGCAGGGTCTGCAAGATTGTCTGGGACACAACACATCCTCTTCACGACCTGTTCTCGTTACCTTCTAGGCTTCGTGGTATCTAAAGCAGAAGATCCAAATTCAGTCAGTTTCGTTCCATGCAGTATTAACCTTGTGAACTCTCCAGCTTCCTTCTTCCATTATATATTCAAGATAGACAGGGTTTAATATTTATATGTTATGTATACGTAGGGGTGCGGGTCTATACATGTTGTGTTATGTATGTGTTCACTTTTAAGAGTAGGCAACTAAATTCATTTTTGATGCGTGTCGTGCCCACAGTAAAAAAAAATGACAATAAAGGTAATCTTATCTTGGTAGACAAACTAAAAAATATTATTTTCCTGTTTTCATTAGACGTTAGCAGTTCAGAGATGGAGAATAAAGAAGAATCGTGTGTTTTGGGTGCAGCAAAGAAGGGAGATAAGGAAAGGGAGCTGCCGCAGAGAAGGAAAACGAAATCAAACCAGATGAGGAATAAAGCACCTCCCTCTCTGATCGGGGATCACCCTGGTCAGCTTGATAGTCTGGAAAAAACCGATAAAGGAGACGAAAAGCATACCTTCCTTCAGCGCCAGAAAAGCTTCCATTCGGACTCGAACCTCATCGCTCATTGCACCAGTTACATCAAGGAGCAGCCGTTCAAATGCGAGAAGTGTGGAAGGAGCTTCAGCCTGAATGCGCACCTCAGCGCCCATCGGCGGATTCACACGGAGGAGAAAGCCTTCAAGTGCTCCCAGTGCAGCAAAAGCTTCAGCGTGATCGCCGGCCTCACCAGTCACCAGAGAAGCCACACGGGCGAGAAGCCCTACAAATGCTCGGAGTGCGGGAAAAGCTACAGTTCCAGCACCAGCATGGCTTATCACCAAAGGACGCACCGCGGGGAGAAACCTTACAAGTGCTTGGAGTGCGGGATTGGCTTCAGTCTGAGCACCAGCCTCATCTCCCACCAGCGGATTCACACGGGCGAGAAGCCCTACAAATGCCTGGAGTGCGGGAAGAGCTTCCGGGTGAGCACCAGCCTCACCTCCCACCAGCGGATTCACACGGGCGAGAAGCCCTACAAGTGCTTGGAGTGCGGCAAGAGCTTTTGCGTGAGCACAAACCTCACGTACCACCAGAGGACGCACACGGGGGAGAAGCCCTACAAGTGTCTGGAGTGCGGGATTGGCTTCTGCCTGAGCACCAGCCTCACCTACCACGAAAGGATTCACACGGGAGAGAAGCCCTACAAATGCCTGGAGTGCCAGATGAGCTTCCGGCGGAGTTCGGATCTCAACACCCACCAGAGGATTCACACGGGGGAGAAACCGTACCAGTGCATGGTGTGTGGGAAGAGCTTCCGGGTCAGCTCCAGCCTCACTTCCCATCAGAGAACGCACACGGGGGAGAAACCGTATACCTGCTTGCAGTGTGGGAAGAGCTTCAGCAGAAGCACGCACCTGAACGCTCATCAAAGAACCCACAGGGCGGCAGCTGTGTGAATACTTAGTCTGAAAGCAAATCTCATTGAGGGATTCGCTCAAGGGACACACACACACACCGATTAGAATGTGGGACAAGATTAATTTGTAGTGGACCAAGTGGAACATATTAATGTTCTGGAACTACAATAAGAAACCTATTTCCTTTTCATCTTCTTTGTCCGGTTGTCTTAGTACCTAACTTTTGTGTCTCCCCCACTTTCGTTCTGTAAATGTGGAAACTGGGTTAAAACTTTGCATAACTTCAGTGCTGAACTGTTATACAAGTGACAAATAAAATCTTTAGTATTGTCCATTGTTCCTCAAATATATGTTGAAACTTACTTATTCTGTCTCCAGAGAATGTAACGGTCACCACCATCCTCTTTGGGGTGAGAGTAAATGGTTGAGGATGGGGGGAGAGGAGTCAGGGCCTGTCACATGAAATACCGCTTGCCTTAACTTCTAGAATGCAAGGCCACTGCAGAGAAGTCCAGAAATTAAAATCTGCACATCTGGGGCCAAATAAGAAAGTCCTAATGTAAGACTAAAGAGATGTTACTTTAATCTCCACTAAGACTATGTATTAATCTCTGATAAGATCCTACCTGTTAGAGATCTATAGGTAGATGTTTGACAGTTTGTCTGGATGAATGATGAGAAACGGCACATATTTTTGAGAGGCTGGGGATACAGCAGTCTTCCCCATGACCTCTAAAAATCATGGATGAACCGTGCTAGATCTAACCCTAACTGTGCTAGATTAATAAAGTCAGGTTGTTCCTATCTTCAAAAAGGGTGAAAAAAGAATTGGTGTTGGGCAAAATTCTTTAATAAATCCTTAAGCAGTTAGAGTGCCTTTAATACTAAAACATCTTGCTTGAGAGGAGTGTTTCTCAAGAATAAATTGACAGTCCTATGATTACAATTTTATAATCTTTTTATGGCCTTTGGTCATGGGAATGCAACAGACACTGCAGTTCTTTATTTTGCAAAGCATTTGATAAAGCCTGGGTGTCCAATCTTGGCAACCCTAAAACTTGGTGGACTTCAATTCCCAGAATTCCCCAGCCAGCATGCAAAAAGCAGCTGAGAGCCTTGGGGGGGGGGGATCCTAAAATGTATATTCTAAATTCCAATGAATAGGATTTGTTTGGTTGTGGCCAGCTGCATTATTTAAATCTAACGAATACAGATTTAATCAACACATCAAAGTTAACACAAACGCTGCATAGCAGATACAGGAATGCAACCAAATTCTTACTCTGGAGAGTACATGGAGAGTCGGTGTATACAACACTTACCTAGAAGATGCAGGTATTTGAAATGATACAAGACAAGGTGTTGTTTCTATGTATTTATTGTAAAAGTGACGACATGGAAATGGCTTTAGATGGCACCTCTTGGAGTTTTGAAGTTCATCCCTACGGTGGGCTGTGTGACCTGCAGATTGGAGAGGCTGCCAAAGTCCTGCGAATAGAAGAGAGCCAAGATACACTAAGCAGATCCCTGGGCAAGAGCTGAAAAGGAGATCTTTTCACTCAGGCTAAATTATCTACGTGAAAACATCTTGGAGGCTCAATTTCCTTGGTATGCAAAAACAAATGAAAGCTTTTAGCAATCATGCATTCACCAAGTATTCTAGTGATTTGCCAAGAGGTTAGGATTGCTTTATTCCCTGTATATAATAATAATAATAATTAATAATTAATAATAATAAAGTTGGAAGGGACCTTGGAGGTCATCAAGTCCAACCCCCTGCTCAGGCAGGTAACCCTATACCATATCGGACAAATGGCTGTCCAGTTTCTTCTTAAAAACCTCCAGTGTTGGAGCATTCACTGCTTCTGGAGGCAGCTTGTTCCACTGGTTAATTGTTCTAACTGTCAGGAAGTTTCTCCTTAGTTCTAGGTTGCTTCTCTCCTTGATTAGTTCCCATCCGTTGCTTCTTGTCCTGCCTTTAGGGGCTTTGGAGAATAGCTTGACTCCCTTTTCTTTGGGGCAGCCCCTGAGATACTGGAACACTGCTATCATGTCCCCCCTTGTCCTTCTCTTCATTAAACTAGACATACCCAATTCCAGCAACCATTCCTTGTATGTTTTAGCCTCCAGTCCCCTAATCATCTTTGTTGCTCTTCTCTGTACTCTTTCTAGAGTCTCAACATCTTTTTTACATTGTGGTGACCAAAACTGGATGCAATATTCCAAGTGTGGCCTTACCAAGGCCTTGTAAAGTGGTATTAATACTTCACGTGATCTTGATTCTATCCCTCTGATAATGCAGCCTAGCACTGTGTTGGCTTTTTTGGCAGCTGCAGCACACTGCTGGCTCAAATTTAAATGATTGTCCACTAGGACTTCAAGATCCCTCTCACAGTTACTACTATTGAGCAAGGTACCCCCCTATACTATACCTGTACAGTGCATCTGCCTGGCTTTTAAACACATCACATAAAAGTGCCCCCCCCCAAATCTTTCAGAACTGCTACCAGGTGGGCTGACTTTGGGGGGGAGGGGAGGGCATCTTCATGCCTTGATTCCCGATGACTGCCTGGATAAGTTCATGCAGTTTTATTGGCAACCTTTTCAGAAGTGGTTTGCCATTTCCTTCTTCCTAAGTTTCGAAGGGAGGGACTGGCCTGAAGTTATCCAGCTGGTTTTATGCCTAAGGTAGAACTAGAACTCACAGTCTCCCACTTTATAGCCTGGTGCCTTTAACCACCTCAGCACACTGACTCTCCTGGCTATTTTATTTTCACTTAACCTTCAGACTCTCATACTTAACAGCCAATTTAAAAATCAAAACAAAACGGCCACTTAGCTATAGAAAAGCAATTTTGTGGGCACCCATCCACTCACCAGCAACTTCAACATTTCCTTGGTATCTGGATCCACTTCAATGATCTCCTGATCCAGGGCAGAGACCTGAGGAAGAAAGAGGCAACGTTTGACGGTTATAACAGAGGGCCGAGAATTGAGTCAAAACACAGCAATTGTGCAATGTATACATTATCATAAGCCCCCTTCTTACAGGCAGCCTGAGATTGTCGGCAAGGTGCTTCAAGAAACATGAGCAAGGAGTTACAAGCATCAGCCAAAACTATATGCAAATACGAACATGGCACGTTTACCGACAGCAGTCTTCCCTAACCTGTTGCCCTCCAAATATTCTGGGGACCATTTCCAAGAACATCAGTTTGGCACCAACAGTCCTGATGGACGGGAATGATAAGGCCCCTAATGCTAAAACATCTGGAAGAGGGCAAAATGTTGAGGAAGGCTGACACAGATACACCAGAATAAATCTGTTCTCCATAAAAACTACTGTTAAAGAGTGAAGCACTGGGCATCAGATACAAATAAATCCTCAGTGAGATTATATATTCATTTGAGCTATCCTTTATTCTCAGATATTCTAACCTGTAAAGCTTTAAGAACAAAATGTACCTACAGATAGTAACTGCAAATACTTTCTAATAATTCTGGAACCCCGAATTTAGAAACTTAATAGAATAGCCTTTCCCCCAGTGACTGAAATTGGAGTCTCAAGAGAACATGCAAAATATCTCCCATGAAAGCTGCTCAAAAGGTAATTTTCTGCCCACATTTGCCAAACCAGATTGCAAACACAAAGCATTATGACTCTTCTCCTCCCACTTATATACTATTACAGGGAAAAAAAATGACCTTCAACTTTTATTCACTCAAGAACAGTAAAAGGAAAAAAAACCAAACAGCAGATTAAAAACAGAAACTTCAGTTAGACTTCATCTCCTAAATATATCCAAGGAATTGTATCAGGACAGCAGTGTATTCAGGTAGGTAAATAATCAAAAATATCTTCCAGCACCAGAAAACATCTCCTAACTTTATTCTAAAATTATGTATTGACCTAAATTATAGTTGTTTTTTTGGTTTTACTTCCTGTCATTTTTGTTCACTACCCTAATTTTAATCTGAACAAAACCAGAGTAATTTTACCCATTTGGCTAATTTGGGCTATTTCGTATAGGGCTAAACTACTACAGCTTTAAATACTCAGGGTCCTACTAGAGCAAGCCTGTTACTTTGTCAATCGGGGGTCTCCAAACTTGGCAACTTTTAAGACTTGTGGACTTCAACTCCCAGAATTCCCCAGCCAGCCATGCTGGCTGGGGAATTCTGGGAGTTGAAGTCCACAAGTCTTAAAGTTGCCAAGATTGGAGACCCTTGTTGTAAATCACCACAACAGAAAGAAATCAAGACTATATGAGCAATATTTTACATATATTTCTGTCAAGAGACAAGCCACTCAGAAAGACAACGGCATCGTTTTAGGACAGAATATAGTACGTTAATGAGGGAAAAAAGCAATCAAAACTACTGTGATTAAGGCTTCCAAAATCAAGTGCGAAGTCTCAGACGCTATGGGGCTGAATTAAAACCGTGTCTGAAAAGCTCAGGGTCTGAAGGAGATGGGAAGAGGCTCCACAGACACGGGAAATGCCTTCAGGCTTTCTCTGCCTGCACTATCAATGACGAGGCCACAGGCAGAAGGCCACCATCACTTTCGAACGCAGGCTCGGTTCATCTGGGGAAGCCAACTTCTGCGCCACAGGGAGTCTCTGACTTACGACCACAGTGAGCCCCAAATTTCAGTGGCTAAGGGAAGACATTTGTTAAGCGAATTTTGCCACCTTTTATGACCTTTCTTGCCAAAGTTGTTAAGTGAACGACTGCAATTGTTTTGTTCTGTCCCAGCCTACGTGAGTCCTTGTGAAGCTCACAAGGGGAAACCCCTCTTCCAACAAGCAGGCTGGAACCGCAGGAAAAAAACCAATCCCTTTTTATTATTCACAGACCTGAGTCAATGTCCAAGGCAAACACAGTTCACAGAAACACAACACAAACGGTTGCCTTCGGCAAACAGCACCTCCCACACCTTCCCTTTTATAATTCAGCCAAGACATGGCTTCCTAATGCCTTCTCCTTTGCCTTTGGAGCCGCCCCATTGCATTCCTCTGTCCTACTCTTTTCTTGTG